TTCGCTTCGTTCCTTTGATTATCTGTCCAGATCAATGAGTGTACAAAATATATATATTCGAAATTCATTCTCGTATGTGACTTATTTAAATCCGTTATCCACTAACGCGATAATTTTATACGAGGATTAGTGATATGTATATCTCGTTAGCAATCAGAAACGATCAAACTGGATTCAGTTCCCATGCCACAAAAAGTCAACGGATTACTGCCAATAAATTGTAATCAAAATATTCTGAGTTTTGTTGACATTCATTTTCACTTAGTGTATTTTTCTTTTAATCATGTCAATGATTAATTTAAGTTAATTCACGATCTAAATTATCATAAGCGTGAAGTACCTAAGTGCAAATGATAATAATGATCTAGTATTTATCATTAAATAAACTTTGGCTAATTTGACTAAACAAGAAAATGTATTTTACGCAGATTTTTCATTCGAACTATTCATAAAATCAATGTTTTAACTATTCAATATGTACAAAGTAGAATGAAATGAGTAAAGATTAATCACTGCCTTTTTGAAGTATTTCGTGAAATATATGTGCTACACATAAAATGATGCTGCTTCAAAAAGAAAAACAAATTTGATATTCTCCAAATTATCATAATCAGTTTACTTCTAACTTTATGAGATCTACAACATTTTATGTTATTTAACAGTAAGAATTCCAGTTGACAAAGTTTGTCTCAATGTTATTGTTGGAGACGTTAGATCCCCAGAACTCACTTGGGAAAGGACCTGTAGTAGTTTTATTTAGAAAATTTGAATTTCTTTGTTTTCGCACCAAAGGTGCTCTTGTCACCTTCATGTAGTATTTCCCACTGGGAAGTATCTTAAATGATATTGGCCCGTTTCGTCTTTTAGTATGTTATTTAGTAACTCTCCCCAAGGACGGTTTTGTACTGTATATATACGTTTTGAATTGTTTTTGTCGTTATCGCTCGTTTCTGGCTGTTTGCAGAATATACTTGCCCATTCCAAGCTTGGACTTCTCCCTCTAGTTAGCGGGGATGAGACGCATCAGATAGCTAGCTTACTGGTCTTTGGTCACTGAGTCTTTGTTCTCGTTCGCAGATTAAGTGAACTCATGATAGCTTCAACCCTAGCAGTTATTGATCATAAATCCAAGTTCAAGAAAGCAACAATAATATGTTAGTAAAGTTCGTAGGGGTTGGTAACATATCAAGCCCATGTAGATTATTCTAGCTTCTGAACAGGCCAATTTATTCATTCTTCTCAAGCTACATTTTTAACTTGTCACCTATTCGCTTATTAACCCTGACTGCTTTTTACATGATTGTATATGTGTTAATTACTTACTTTACTCATTACGTGTGTGTAACTTATTTTCGTTTGACTATAAATATCGAATCATGCTTGATTAAATCGAGTTGGCTCATACGCCATCTTTACTGTACGTCACTTTCCATCGTTTCGTTTCGTTCTCTCCCCTCCGTTTAATTTGCTTCTTCTCCCTGATTGTCTGTCTAGAAGGAAGATTGTATGAAATATATGTATTTGGAATTCATTCTCGCATATGTATATTAACTACTATTTCAAGTGTAATGTTTAGTTTTGTACGAACATTAAGGTTCTGAGAAGTTCTATTCATTTCAGATGACTAAATGATCGAATATTACGATATTTTTTCTCATGTAACTTGTGTTACTGTCAGTTTTAGTTGTTTGTTTCTAGTTCATTGTAGTATGACTGTAATAAATTAAATCATTCTAGCAATATGAATAATTGAACCCATTTAAGAGCAGAAATGTTGAATTCCATTTGTGAAAACTGTTTATGAAATCGTTGCGAAATTTGAAATTATTGATTTTAATATGGATAGTTTGTTAATAAAGTAGATGAACAATAAAAGTTTACTTATCAGTACAGGGTTGTGGAGATTGTTGAGTTCCATTGAAATCATGGAATGATATAAATTAGATCATCATAGAAAATCTGGAAGCACAGGATAGTCGTTCTGGTGAGAAGCCGTGGAGCTCAGTCCTTTTAGGGTGTCAGGTAGCCACTCACCGAAAACGATAGGTGATAGATTGAAGTTAAACGTTAGAACCATTAGATACCAATTCTGTGGTCTAGAGGTTAGGCGTTAGAATGTAGTGACCTACTTTTATCAAGAGAACGCGATTGGTTTAACGGAAACAATTATTATTATAACCAATTATACCAGTGATCGTTTTACTATACTTGTTTGTTTAACTGTACTAGAGATATTCTCCCGTTGATTGTGACCTTGCACGGATTCGGTTGCGCTCAGTAACCACACTTGTAACCTGACACGATCTCGGTATTCTTTCGATACCACGAGATCGCGAACAAATACATCTCGACTACATCCATCAACTGCCTTCTGATATTTGGCTTACGGGGGATCTTATCGGTTAACTGGCACGTAGTCTTCCTGTAGTGGTGATCATAGTCAACCGCGACTCGACGCCACACTACAAGTGTATACCTACTAGTTTTGCTATTATGATTTTAAGCGGACAAATAAATGAAGGGAGGAAGAAGAAGCTAAATAGTAAATCAGATTCGTCTCCACATTTTAGCAATGAATAAAATAATATAGTTCAAGAGAATTGGAAAAAATTTCATGTGTTAGTGATATGGCGTGTAATGGCTCAACCAATCGTAATGATAATGACATACGAAATTGATTTTCTTTCCAATCGTATGTGGCATGCATTTACACCTTAAGGAGGAATATAAATGATCAATTTTATAATATGGTTAAATCTGTTCACACAGTAATTTGCTGAATTTTCCTCGTTAAGCATTTGCTTACTTACTTACTTGCTTACTTACGCCTATTACAACTCGTGGAGGAGCATAGGCTGCCTACCAGCATTATCCATCCAACTCTGTCCTGGAAAGTCCTTTCCAGTTGCCATTCGCTCTTTCGGTGTCTGCTTCTGATTCTCGACGCAGCGTATTCTTTGGCCTTCTGTCTTTCCATTTCCCTTCAGGATTCCAAGTTAGCACTTGCTTCATGATGAAGTTTGATCATTTCCGTAATGTATGTTCTATCCACTTCCAGTATGTTTTCCTAGTTTCCTCTTCAGCTGTAGAGGAAAATATTTAGATGGTGAGTATCCATTATAATGATATAAATATAATTCATCGAACGTTTTATGTGCTTTACATTCCTCAACGGTTTCATACGAAAATGTATGGCTTATGTGTTGGCGGCTTTATTAACGCAGATCAAAATATATTGAAGATGAAACAGGTATTCAGTGTTTGACAACGCTTTTACCAGCAACACCTTCTAATATAATTTGTACCCACCGAGAGAAATCAAAAGACAGAGTCGAGGAGATCGGACGAGTGTATTTGGCGATTACCAATATATCGGAATTCTCTGACCTAATCTGGCTAGCGATTACGGTTGATGTTGAGCATGGCGTTACCACACGTGATCTGTTGCGAATGCCTGACCGAGCGCCTTCAGCTAGATGAGTCCACTAAAACATATGGTCAGCATCCAATGTCGAAAACGTACAGGGCTATTTATTTTGGGGATTTATTTACCGCTACAATATAAATATATGTCTTAAAACATTTTTGAAAGACTATTATATCCGGTTAAACTAAATTTATTTTGTTTCAGAAATTTTTCATTACGGATAAGTAAATATGATGGCTCATTAAACTGAAATTAATCTGTTAATCAATGAGATGTCTCAGAGGGGTTGATTTGAACCATCGTAAAGCAATGAATCGTAAAAAAATTACATCGCACAGCTTCTTCTACATGTATTAAGCCAGTGTGCTCATATCAAGGAAATTAGATATATGATAATTGTAAGAGCGTTTTTGAATATTCGTGAGTGAATGTGTGAAATTCCCTCTACCTACACGTTTCATGTAAGGTTAGCACATTGTCTCACTCTTAAACGTAGAGTAGTTATTTGTGACACCTATGTATTCATCTTCTGTTTATACTTAGGATACGGACGAAACTGCCACTCATTCTACTTACAGGTTTGGTTTTTTGTGTATTGTTTCATTGATTATTCTTTAGACGCTATGTAAATTTTGTTTTAATTTCCAATGAATTGTGCTGAGGCTACATTAATTCCTTTGGCTTTTTTGTGCCGATTGAATTAAACTACCGTGAAACGGTAAGATAATCATGTTAAGTGGTTAGAGGTGCACCTTGTATTCAACTTGAAACAAATTTATATGCCTTACAGGCTTAGTTACTTTATGTTATCTAGATTTTGATTTCACTACACTTTCTTAGATAATTCTCTCCTGGATATATCATGATGATGTCATTCTTTGGTCTGTTTTGTATAGTTCATATCCATAATCTTTATGGTTGGAACCTTACCTAATCGAGCTATAATGTTTTGGATTTATCTGTAGAAAAGAACAGATGTCCAAGATTTTACTAGAGGCCGAGAGAATTCAAACAGCATCAGTTTGAACACAATAATACTACGGATTAATATTGGTCAAATGGGGATTCACTCACTTGGCATACATATCGTCATTTTCGCAGGATCGGAATCGTGTTATTACATGAAGAATTAAAATCAAATTAACCAGTTGATTTACAATAACTTATTACTAGCCTATCGAATATCAGATATCTTTGCAGTGGTTATACATATCTACACCATATGTAAGTGTTCGAAAATGCAAATCATAAGTGTCTTAGATATCAGTCGTTCGCGTATCATTTAAAAATTTTAAAAGTCTACTGCCCTACTCATTACCAACCACTTCTGTCGTCAAATTGTAGTGCTCAAGCTGTTAATGATTGTTCTTCCGTAAAGAGGTTCAGTTTTCTGATGCCTACTCTTCCACGCTGGTCTATTCATTTGCGCCGCATCTCACTGACTAGTGCGTACATATATAGTGGCTAAGGCGAAATACATCGGATACATACTGTAACGGAAAGAAAACGCTGAAAATCCCTCCACAGCATGATTAACCCACAGGATTGGTGGTAGTTTGTAATTATTATCAATATGACAATATCCTCCGTAGTCGACTATCTTCTGATTCAGCACTCGAAGGATAAGTTTCCGGACGCTGTTCTGGATACCGGTTCTCAGTTGCTAGCACAAAAGCCGTTAAGGTTCCTTCATCAGTGTTCGATAGGGAATTGCTGTAAGCAGTCAAGCCTCTCATTGTTCTTACGAAGAAAGGTGAGCTTTCCTCTGTATTTCGACTTTGTGAATTCGTTTTTAATACCAGTGGTTAACTTCATAATGACTGAATAATAATAATGCCAAGTAAAAGTTAATCCTGTTTACTTCATGTGAAGTCTGTAGAGAAATGACGTTTATACAACGTAGATAACAAAAGTGTGCCAAGTATTGTGTTTCGGATACGTACATTGGACGTACTAATGATGAACGTCAGGCAAGCAAATGGAAGATGCGTCAATTACATGAAGTTTTTGAGGTCAGTAGTTTACGAACTCAGATAATAATGGTATGACAGCTATTATAAGTCATGTAAAAAGTACAGGAAGAGGATAGACATTATTACTACCATACATACATATATAAGGCCCGTTTAGGTCCATAAGTATGCAACTGACAAGGCAAAATCTGTGTTTGATTTAACAAATGTAAGAATCATTCAGATAAATCAATGTAATTGGGTTTCGTGCGATTACTGAGTCGTCGGCTTACAGTTATATAACTCTGCTTTCCCAGAACCTAACGTATCTTCAGACTGAACACTAACTTCTACGCTCAAGGGGTATTCTGAGAACGTGTATAAATATGCAACGAAGAGAGAAATACTTTGAGTACATTTAGTGACACTTTAGGGATACCTGTGAGAATGTAAGTAACAATGTTAGCATGTGGTTAATAGCAACTCAATAATTGTATAAAAATATAACTTTAATTTGTGGCACGAAATTACCTGCAAAAAACATATTACAATGAATAACAAGGAATACTGTGAAAGCCAGGTGTAATAGATCTTTCATAGTTCATTTATCCTTTAGTATAATAGGGAACGTACGGTAGGCTGTGTTGATTGACGATTTGTGATGTCGAAGAAACGGAAGTATACCGAATATGTATGAGCATGTTTCAAAGAGTCTCAAGTTCAGTGCTTAGAAATTATTGCAGTGAAAATGTTATTAGGTTTAAATATGAGAAAATTTGAGAATCTGGTTTATGCATATGAATGTGACGAATGAACATTAGGTATATATCAAAAACGTAAGTGATTACAAAGTGAATTATCGATTAAACAAGATGGTGCAATGAGAAAGGAAATCACTTCCGTATCACTAATTCATATCTTCAGTTTGCAATCCCTCAACAATCAAAATGTCTGAAAGCAATATCTGCAACACGTACTGCAATCAACACATGTTCAGTGGAAATCATCATCGAATTCCGATGCCACATCTCATCGGAAATTTATAACATGTGAAACGAACACTAAAAATTGGAAGTTGAATCACAACTCATTCCCTAAACTACCATATGCATGGGGACGATCTCATGTTCACATGCAATCGTGTTGGTCGATTTCACTCTCCATTCATTCACGAGGACACCAATTCACTTCAACACGTCTCATTCGATCGACATCACTGAGAGAAAGGTGGTTGGTGAGGCTCTCAAATCGTATCACGATCCATGCATCGAACTAGACGAGTCAGTCAGCAGTCATCAACGCAAACCACACATGTTATCACCTGATATCGACTACAAACGACAGAACACGTCACTCCACACAAATGCTCGTCTCACATGTTATGCAGCCTTAATAACAATATAGCAAAATCTGATTACAATTTGATGAAATTATCAGACATTGTTTTATTTGTTCCAGAAGCATGAGTCACTCGTGAATCATAATCCCACAAACCGATAGTTATTTCCACTCAGTGTAAAAACGCTGTGAGTAAACTTCAATCACAATTTTCTCAATACCACCGACTTGTGTAGACACCGCCCTTTACCCCTACTCATTCATAACTGATTACACAACTGATTATTATTCTGCACAAATATAATCCTACATTCATAAGACAAATTGACACTTATGAGTGGTTAGTTTAATCACCATGACTTATGTTGATTAACCTGATCTCATGGTGTGTGTATATATATGTAAAAGCCAACAAGTGATTGTTCGTAAGTCAGACAGACTGTGAAATTCTGGTCTCATCGAAATGTCTTCTAATTCCGAGTTGTCATCAGTCGTGTTGTTGGTTTGTTCACTTGTGTGTTGCTGTGTTCATGCACAGTTGGATGATGCGATGAGGAATGAGTTGTTAGCTCTTCACAATAACGCAAGACAATCTGTTCAAAATGGTCAGCTTGTTGGACAACCGATAGCAGTCTCCATAAAACCACTGGTAAGAAGAGTGATTGTTTAATTTGAGTGTTCAGCGCAATTATGTTTTGATTGAGACAAATTGATTTCAGTGTACGTTTCAGCTGGTCTCACTGTGAACATGGTGTGATGATGCAGGAGAGAGAGAGAGAGAGAGAAGGAGGGAGGAAGAAGTTGTTCGGTTGATTGGTTGATTGTGGCTGACTGCAGGTAGCAGTTTCTTGGCCACTCAAATGAGGTTATTGGTGTATTGTGTTGTAGAGTAGATAGCTCACTGGTCGAAATCATTGTGTGGTTGTAGACAGTGTTCTTAACTGTGCATTTGTTTGTTTTGAATGGGTGTGGTTAGTGATGTGTATGTTGGTGAGAATGGTGAGTATAGGCGAGCGAACTTCGTTCACGTGGTTCGCGTGAATCCATAAGGGATGAAGAATTTTTCGCAGTTTCTGACTAACTAGTGGAAAAACTAAAAATCTCCCAATTATATCACGTCAATGTGACGGCACTCATGACAACTAGTGACATTCGATACCACTTTATTCGCCTCATCGATTTTAAGTAAATAAAGCAATAATTACATTATTAATTGATCAATTAACCGTTTGATTTGCTCATTGATTAACCACATGTTTACAGAAATGGAATGTGGAATTGGAAGCGAAAGCACAAATTCTGTCTGATCAATGTCGTGTTGGACATGATACAAATGATGATCGTAAAATACCGGCATTCCAATATGTTGGACAGAATTGGGCCGGTGCCAAAGATATAAACACGTAAGTGTCATGTGCATTGTGTTAAATATATGAATTTGCTCAACTCGTAGACTTGCAAGCATGTGCTCTGGATTCGCAGAAGTGTTATATCGATCTAATCGACATACACCGTCATCAGATGCACACCTACTTCTTCTCAGACTGTTGCTTTCTAACCAATCTGTGAACGCATACTCAATGCAAACCAACTACGAAACGTCACTCCAAATACCACAAAATTTTAGGAACACACATTTGTGAACCATGCCGCCTGTCACTCCACACTCGACGATGTGGTTCGGAAGGTCTGTATGTCAATGATAGATGAGTGAGAAAATATTGAGTACGACTATGAGATGAACAGAAGTGATTAGTGTGAAACCCAACAAGTGGTTGCATCGGGATCTTGAACTGATTGTAACGAGTGTAACCACAGACCGATGTCACTCAGTTCAACTAATCGAAAATTCACTTCAACTAAACACTGCAATGATGTGGTTAGTGTGTTGAGATAGGCTGGATTTCGCATCCAGATGTTCACATGCTTGTCGAAAATGCACCCACATCTGTGTGCAATCGAGAAACTGTTAATAGTCAAATATCTCATTTACTATATATTACTTAATCAGATATTCACAGTCGATGGGCATCACCACAGTCAATCAGTGTGTGGTTTCTTCGTGATATTCATCGACGTTCACACCTACACCTGTGCAGTGAGATCCTTATTCTCCTCCTCAATTAAACATGTGATAATACTCTTGTAATTGATTGTTCATTTTTCCAAATGTTCGGATTCATGTTTCGATTGATTGCTATTGTTTGTTCATTTCTATCAAGCGGATTTCAATTATGGTTGGATGAATACAAGAATTACGACTTCTACACGACAACATGTCGTATGGGTCAGTGTGGTCATTATACTCAGGTAAGCATTAGAACGATTACAAAGTATTCTTGTTAAAATAACTACTTCAGACAAAGTCGTATAGACACTGACTAGTGATATTGTGGTCGATTCATGAAACCATCTAACATGGCTACATGTAGTATCCAACTATCCGTTGTTACATACAAACAAATTAGAAATGTTCCAGTCCTCGTTAGCACGCTTCTTGTCTGTGTTAGAATAGTCTACACTCTCCCCAACGAATCAAGTCTTCCACATCGTTGTGATCTTTGACTGTTGTTGATTTAAGTGAACGATTTTTATGAATGTGTCCTCTTCCAATACACTATTCAATAGCTCACTGTCCCTTGGTTCATTTCAGCTTGTCTGGGAAGACACTACGGATGTTGGATGTGGTGTCACGAACTGTCCGAATTTCCCATACGGACTCAGCATCGTGTGTAACTATGGTCCTGGGTAAGTCATTAACAAGATCATTTTCATTTACTTAAATGATTTGTGACCTGCTCTTCCATTATGACTCCGCTCTGCATTCTTTCTTCATGATCGGATGTTGTTTTTAGTGGAGTTCAATTTGGCTGTTGTTTACCAATATTACTGATACGCTCTGTTTTCTATTCATCAGCTCAAACTCTCGTTGCTACCTAAATAAACACTTGCTATCCTGAAAATTATTGCCTGGCATTTTTAACTCCGTCACAACTAATGCCTACTTTCGTGACGATCAACATAGATCACTGTTGAATGTTTAATTCAACGTAAATCACATTTCACCTGTTGTAGTTACGTTTGCCATGTAACCGAATATTAACGGAATCGACGATGAATCAGTGCTCATCAATAATATACTCATTGTGAACAAAACCAACTCATTTGAACATGAATTTCACTATATTTTACAAACACTTGAATTCGCATGAATATCAGAATGGATTTTTCATTACTAGTATTACACAGACTTTGACATGATGAATATCTCCTTTCAAATTTCTACGTGTAATCTGACTACTGATATCCACAAGTAGTTCATGAATATCATCAACAATGGTTGATGTCCATTGTAACGAATGTGAATACGTGTCGATGTTCTAACTTCAATGATAATAATAAATGAACATGAGAAAATCACTGATGAACTTTGTCTCATCGTCTTAATGAACTTACTAACGTTTCATTTTTCTTACCCGATTTCAGCGGCAATTACGTTGGACGCTCACCGTACAGAACAGCATGAGGAATAGTTGGCTTTCGAAATCAATCATTTTTGCAACTGTCTTTTTTACATTTCACATATCACATATCACTACTGTACACCGGTGAAAATCGCCTAATTTGTATATTTGTATTGAAGTGAAATTATCTTTTCGAAATAATAATCCTTCAAATGTCAGGCTAAGTCTTGATGTCTTTTGATTTCCGCGTTTTATTCCTGTGTGACCGGAGTGTCCGTTGAGGAATGGGATATTGCAATAATTAATTCGTTGCCAGTCGTGTGTCAGCTTACTACCGAAATCCGTTTCTGTCTACACACTAGTCAGTAGCATGACTTGCTTTCACACACAGAAGCTTTACTCCTGCATACTGCAATTCTAGAGTATGATAACTTCTCTATCACTACAAAACGATGAATTTACAAAATACGCGTAACTCAAATAAATTTAGTTTGCTTCTGAATTTTCATTTGTTTGAAGGAAAAAAGATCAATGTCATGTGTGTCAGGTCCCTTCCACTAATCAATCAATTGTAAATACATCCCAGTGCTACAGGACGTCAGTCGTGGTCCGGATAACTCAGTGTTAAAGTCTCCGATTGTGATACTGGGTGATACGGGATGGAGTCTGTCAGGGAGAATCAATTCCCATAAGATGACAGTTACACTTTGCTGACGAGTGCCAAATAGCACGAAACCTAGATCCAAGGTTTCCTGTCGCCTATCTCCAATCACTATCCTATCTCAACATAGTGAGATTGATTTTATTTATTTATCATTATACATGAGTAGTGTATTTGAAATTATCTTCAGAGTTCCTGTCAGCTTAGAATAATCGCATTTTACATTGGATAGGACACTGATGACATAGATAATTTAAGTGAAAAATTGTTTTTACTTTCAATGAAATCTGAAAGTAAACAAGTTGAGGGAATTAGTGTCTTTTATGATTAGTGGAGTTTATTACTAGTGATGTTTTTAAAACGCCTTTGCACCTTATCGACTTGAATGTTAAAACGTTTACTGACTAAATTTCATCAATAGTAACTGAACTTTGACAAAACTTTGTGATCGTCAGTAAATTCTTTACAATATACGATTGTGCATATTTTGGTAAAAAGATGTCTCAACTTTGGGATTCAGATACCTCCTGTTAATCAGACCCAAATAGGAAAAAAAACTCATGTCGTGCTTTTTATCACTAGTAACGGTCCAGATTTACTATAGCACACTGCCTTAGAAACTCTGTAGTTTTATAATCAGTAGTATACAAACTACTGTCTGTTAAGCATCGCCTTCAAACACAACAAATTAGAGAGGTTGTATTTTCAAACTACCACCAATTGTTTATCAACAAGTTTATACGTCAGCATTAACTAACTCGGGTTTAGTCTGTAGTGTCGTTAGTATGTTAAGCCCATATAGCTTGTTCTAGCTTCTGGACAGGCCAATTTATCCATTCTTCTGGAGTCACGTTTTGACCTTGTTAATTATACACTTATCAACCCTTACTGTTTTTATATGGGCGTATGCTTGTGTCCATCTTACTCCATTAATCACATATCTGTAGCTTATTTTTGTGTGACTATAAATATTGACTAACGCTTGATTAATTGGAGTTGGCTTACACGCCTCCTCCACCGCGAATCATTTTGCTTCACTGTCTTCTCTTTTCGCTTCGTTCCTTTGATTATCTGTCCAGACCAATGAGTGTACAAAATATATATATTCGAAATTCATTATCGTATGTGACTTATTTAAATCCGTTATCGACTAACGCGATAATTTTATACGAGGATTAGTGATATGTATATCTCGTTAGCAATCAGAAACGATCAAACTGGATTCAGTTCCCATGACACGAAAAGTCAACGGATTACTGCCAATAAATTGTAATCAAAATATTCTGAGTTTTGTTGACATTCATTTTCACTTAGTGTATTTTTCTTTTAATCATGTCAATGATTAATTTAAGTTAATTCACGATCTAAATTATCATAAGCGTGAAGTACCTAAGTGCAAATGATAATAATGATCTAGTATTTATCATTAAATAAACTTTGGCTAATTTGACTAAACAAGAAAATGTATTTTACGCAGATTTTTCATTCGAACTATTCATAAAATCAATGTTTTAACTATTCAATATGTACAAAGTAGAATGAAATGAGTAAAGATTAATCACTGCCTTTTTGAAGTATTTCGTGAAATATATGTGCTACACATAAAATGATGCTGCTTCAAAAAGAAAAACAAATTTGATATTCTCCAAATTATCATAATCAGTTTACTTCTAACTTTATGAGATCTACAACATTTTATGTTATTTAACAGTAAGAATTCCAGTTGACAAAGTTTGTCTCAATGTTATTGTTGGAGACGTTAGATCCCCAGAACTCACTTGGGAAAGGACCTGTAGTAGTTTTATTTAGAAAATTTGAATTTCTTTGTTTTCGCACCAAAGGTGCTCTTGTCACCTTCATGTAGTATTTCCCACTGGGAAGTATCTTAAATGATATTGGCCCGTTTCGTCTTTTAGTATGTTATTTAGTAACTCTCCCCAAGGACGGTTTTGTACTGTATATATACGTTTTGAATTGTTTTTGTCGTTATCGCTCGTTTCTGGCTGTTTGCAGAATATACTTGCCCATTCCAAGCTTGGACTTCTCCCTCTAGTTAGCGGGGATGAGACGCATCAGATAGCTAGCTTACTGGTCTTTGGTCACTGAGTCTTTGTTCTCGTTCGCAGATTAAGTGAACTCATGATAGCTTCAACCCTAGCAGTTATTGATCATAAATCCAAGTTCAAGAAAGCAACAATAATATGTTAGTAAAGTTCGTAGGGGTTGGTAACATATCAAGCCCATGTAGATTATTCTAGCTTCTGAACAGGCCAATTTATTCA